TGCTAATTCAGAAGTGAAACCACTCCTGAACGCCACTTTTCAAACAAAGACTTAGACAGGCTTATAAAACAAACAATAACACATGTGAGGAACGTGCTGCTTAGTTCAATCAAATATACAAGATCAAATGGGCAACTCTTGCCCAAAAGCAAGACGAGAAGGCAGAAAGGGACAGGAACTGGACAAATGGATACAGTGAACCCAGGGAGTAAAGGGAAGACATGCTGTCACATTGTGGGGATTGCAACCAATATCACAAAACAGTATGTGTATAAATTTTTGAATGAGAAATTGACTTGCACTGTAAACTTTCACCTAAGGCATAATTTTTTTAAAAAAAGCATAGAATTTTCTCCTATCTCTGCCAATAAAATTCTACTCATTAAAAAAAAAAAATCAATGCATTACTCTCATCAAGTCAACAAGTACTCACTGAACACTTGTGAATACTCAACTTTGATTGAGAATGCAGATAAAAGCAGAAATCCTGTTTACAGAGGCTTACACATTAGCTGACACTCTAATACAGACAAACAACTAGTAGATGAGTATACAATTCAAACATTTAATGAGTAGAAAAATTAAAACACAAGAGAGCACACAATCAGAGGCTATACTGGGCATGATCCTCATCAGTCACACAGAGGCCAGTGTGTAAGATCTACATGAAATTACATTTTAACCACACAATGACCCTACTTTAAAGCTTTTCTCTGGCTCTGCCACCGTGAGATAAAAAGCCCAAGCTTCTGAGACTCAATTGCCTTGAGTTAATTCCCACTAATGGAGACCTCATGTGGATCAGAGGAGAACTGTGCTCTGTAGGGTTTTCAGCCGCTGATATTTAGAAGCAGATAGCCAGGCATTTCTTCTGAGGCAAATCTGGGTGGACTGAACAGCCAACCATTTGTTTAGCAGCTCATCTCATTAACTGTTTGCACCACCCAGGGAAGACTCCTGCCTATATCTCTGCCCCTATGTCCCACCACCCTCTGCTCTGCACTTCACACTCCAGTAATACCCACCTCCTAGCAGTTATTGGAGCCCTGGTGGCACAGTGGTTAAGAGCTGGGCTGCTAACCAAATGGTCAGCAGTTCAAATCCACCAGCCGCTCCCTGGAAACCTTATGAGGCAGTTCTACTCTGTCCTATAGGATCGCTAAGTCGGATCCGACTCGACCACAACGGGCAAGGTACAGTAGCAGTTACTGAAAGAAGGCCGGGTGACGCAGTGGTTAAGCCTGCCTGGTAACCGAAAGGCTGATGGTTCAAAACCACCTAGCGGCTCGGAGGGAGAAAGATATGGCAATCTGCTCAGTCGGCTCCCGTGAAGATTACAACTCAGAAAACCCTATGCGGCAGTTCTACTCTGTCACATGGAGATGCTATGAGTTGGAATCACCTCGACAGCACACAACTGTAGTTACTGGCCTCCTCACTGTAGTCGCCTCCCATTCCCACACATCCCCCAAATTCCCACCCCACTTTGTGATCTGAATCTTGCTCACTCAAGACACTTCCAACACTGTACTGAAATGAGCTTTACTGTCCCTCTCTCTGGTTAGCACACTTCTGGGGAGCAGAAGCCAGTGTCTGAACCACATATTTGCTCAGAATGTCGGTATAAATTTCAATCCTGAACATTTCTTAATCCTCCGCCTAAGAACCAGTAACTCTGAAAAATTAACATTATTAATCATTAAACGAACTAACAAAAAAAACTACATCTCCGCCAAGCTTTATTGGAACAACTTTTTTTTTTTGTAAACCTCACAAAAATCCATTCAGACCCAAAAAACTCTCCCCAGGTGATCCTGTCAACTCGTCCTGGCTATTTTTTCACATCTTATCTCAAAAGCAAAAAGAGCTCATGAGCGAGCAACCAAAGACACATTTCTCAACCATGGCGATTGGGTCATCAGCGCTGAGACACCACCAGCTGCCTATGACCGAGTCTTTACAACAACTGAGTCCTTCCTCCCTCCCTATAAACTCCCGCGACGGGCATCACCTGGACTCCGCTCCGCCGCGGTTCGGGAGCAGGAACTTCTGCTCCTAACCCTAGCCCCACGAGTTTGTCCTCAACTACCGGGCGAAAGTTAGCACCACTGTTTGCAACCCCCGCGTCCCAGCTCCGGGACGTTTCCATGTCCCAATCCCCCAGGTGGGTTTGTGCAGCTCGGGTGCCCCTGCCAAGGCCGGACTGCGATCCGACCGGTCCTGGAGGAGTCCCCGGCGGGGCCGTGGGCAACACCGACAGACCGCCACCACCGGTGTCCCTCTGGCCCCCGCGGACTGGACAGTGAGGAGGCAGCCGGGCAGAGGCAAGCCGTCCCGGGAGAGATGGGCGGCTGGCGGGAGGCGGCCAGGAAATGACAGGCGACCGTCCTCCGGAGTTCGGCCGGGGGTGGGGAACTTGGGGACGAGTGCCCGAGACCGGGAAGCTGAGCACTACGACGAAGAAGGGGAGCGGCGACGGCCTGGGCTGGGCAGGGCCGCACTGCCGGGCCGGGCTGGGACGACCGGCGGCAGAGGTGCCAAAGCGCAGCGGCCCCGGCCGGGCGCACGGCACGGACGGTGACCCAGCAGCCACTGGCCCGGACGGCACCGCGACCCTTGGCCCTGAGATGCCACGGCGCCGCCACTGGCCCCCGTCCGTGCTCTCCGTACCTCGTCCGCGGCTCCGCGGTGTCGGGAGAGCCACTCTACCGCGTCAGTCAAGCAGGTCCGGGATCGGCCAGTCCACTCCCCTCCCTCTCGCCCGCCCTCCAACTCTCACGCCCCGCCCCCAGCGCCTGCGCCGCGAACGCACGCACGTCGCATGCTGAGACGTCATTTCCGGGTTCCCGGTGGGCGGGCTTGAGCCATTTCTGACCGCCGTGGCGAGCGAGGGGAAGCAGGCCGCCTTGCAACAAGTGCTGCGGCGCCAGTCTGTTTCCTTCTTGGTCCCTTGGCTGCTGTGGAAGCGTAGAAAGGGGTGCAGAGGCTGGAAAGTTGAGTCACTGGCCGGGAACCCTTCCCCGGCCGAAGGGGATATGGCTGCCTAAGAAACTAATGAATCCCATCCCTTCACATATTTTAAGATTTTAGAAGTGTTCGATAAAGAGATTGGTCGATCCCAAAGCCGCTTCTACAGCATAACTGTGAGCCAGTAAAGTTATATGAGTTAGCCGGTGTTGCACAGTGAATGGTCGAGTCACAAATGGAATCCAGTTCTCGTGATTCCCATTTCGGGAATGTTGGAAACAGCAGCTAAATTCTGACAGCCTCTGCATCCAGGATTCCATCTATGGCATAAAGTGCAGCTACTGGGGGTGGGGAGAAGAGTACTATGCTGTGTTTTGGAGGCAGAGCTCGGTTGAAATCCCAACTTTGCTAATTGCCACCTCTGATCTTGCGCAGGTTGCCTAATTTCTCCATCATTGTACATTATTTGCAATCATTTTGGGATTGATTGAGTCCTTCTTCAAATTTTAAACGCCTGTGTGCTAGACTGACAGGATAGAACAAACACCGGCTTGTTTTATATTCTAGGGGAGGGATGGAGGAGCCAATAAAGCTCTACAGAGAAAACCAATGCGGGGAAGGGGGATAGGGAGTGCAATGGGGAAGTTTGCAGTTTTAGAGTGGACAGGGAAGGCATCACAAAGTGACATTTGAACAAAGGAGGTGAGGGAGCCAGCTATGCATCTATGGAAAATATCAGGACAAGCTTGTTTTAGGCACAGGAACAGCAAGTGCAAAGGCCTTCAGGCATCCTCAACCCCTACGGCCCGTGTAGCTGTAGCAGAGTGAATGAGGGGGAGGTTGGAGACCAAAAGGCAATAGGACACCAGATAATGTAGGTGCTTGTAGGCCATTTTAAGAACTTTGGTTTTTCATCTGAGATGAGAAACCATTAGAGAGTTTTAAGCAGAGGACATCTACAGCCTGCAAGGTTGAGCCTAGACTAATGGAGTAAGAAAAAAGTAAAGGATGACTCCTGTTTGGAGGGTTGTGACTTTTACTAAGGGATAATACAAAGAAAAAAAATTTAATGAAAAGATATTTAGTTTGGAATATACTGAATGTGACATGACTGTGGGATACCCAAATGGAGTTGGATCTAAGTGGGTCGGAGCCCTGCAGAAATATCTGGATTCAAGATAATAGATTTGGGAGCTATTAGCATCCATTAGTAGTCAATGAAATGCAAGTGCAGGAAATCACCTAAGGAATATAACAAAACGTGTGTATGTGTGCGTGTGTGTTTCCATTTACTTATGAATGATAAGCATCAAATTCATTCTGGTTCCCTCTGGGGGAAGGGAGGTGTAGACAACTGGAGACAGTGTGTATTTAACTGAGGAGACAGTGTTGTAGTTCTTGAGCTGGATGATGGCTGTATGGGTAATTGCTGTACTATTCCTTATGTGTTGTTTTTGCAAACTGATTTGTAAAACCACCCCATGTCTGTCAGTTTATCATACTGTGGTGGCTTGCGTGTTGCTATGATGCTGGAAGCTGTCACTGGTATGTCAAACACCAGCAGGGTCACCCATAGCAGACAGGTTTCAGCGGAACTTTCAGATTAAGACAGACTAGGGAAAAGGACCTGGCAGTCTACTTCTGAAAAAATTGGACAGAGAAAACTTTATGAATAACAGCAGAACATTGTGTGATATAGGGCTGGAAGATGAGCCCCTCAGATTGGAAGGCATGACTGAGGAAGAGCTACCTTGTATAAGTAGAGTAGACCTTAATGACATGGATGTAGTAAAGCTTTCAGGACCTTCATTTGCTGATGTGGCATGACTCAAAATACGAAGAAACAGCTGCAAGCATCCATTAATAATCAGAACATGGAATGTACGAAGTATGAATCTGGGAAAATTGGAAGTCATCAAAAATGAAATGGAATGCATAAAGATTGATACCCTAAGCATTAGTGAGCTGAAATGGACTGTTATTGGCCATTTTGAATCAGACAATCATACGGTCTACTATGCTGGGAATGACAACTTGAAGAGGAATGGCGTCACATTATCAAAAAGAACATTCCAAGATCTATCCTGAAGTACAACGCTGTCAGTGATAGGATAATATCCATATGCCTACAAGGAAGTCCAGTTAATATGACTATTATTCAAATTTATGCACCAACCACTAAGGCCAAAGATGAAGACATTGAAGATTTTAACCAAGTTCTGCAGTCTGAAATTGATCAAACATGCAATCAAGAAGCATTGATAATTATTGGTGACTGGAATGCAAAAGTTGGAAACAAGCAAGGATGGCAATGTCTCATATACTTTGGACATGTTATCAGGAGAGATCAGTCCCTGGAGAAGGACATCATACTTGGTAAAGGAGAGGGTCAGCAAAAAAGAACACCTTTGACAAGATGGACTGACACAGTGGCTGCAATAATGGGCTCAAACATAGCAACGATTATGACTATGGCGCAGGACCAGGCAGCATTTTGCTCTGTTGTATGTAGGGTCGCTATGAGTTGGAACCAACTGGATGGCACCTAACAACAACAACAATTTGTAAAAATCAGTGCCATTCAAAAAAAAATGAATACAAAAAAGGGCTAAGAGTAGATCTTGGAGTGGATCAAAGAAAAAGGGACCAGTAAAGAAGGGTGGGGGGAAAAAAAAACGAGCAAAATTAAAAAGAAGAATGATGTGAAAACCAAGAGTAGAGAGAGGAAACCAAGGGATTCATCAGCAGAGTCAGACTCTGCGGAAAGGTTAGGTGAGATGAACCCACCTGAGATAAATGAAAGCATATGTCCATACAAAGATTTGTACATGAAGGTTCATAGCAGGCTTGTTTATAATAGCCAAAACCCAGCAACCCAAATGTCGATCAACATGGATCAACAAAAATGTGGCATATCCATATAATGGGATATTACTCAGCAATAAAATGGAATGAAGTACTGATCCACGTTACAACATGGATGAACCTCAAAAATGTTAACTGAAAGAAACCAGACAGAAAGGACCACATTCTGTATGATTCCAATTATATTAAATGTCTTGAAGGAGGTAACTATGCAGACAGATTAGTGGTTTCCTGGGGCTAGAGGTGAGAACAGGGAGTGACTGCAAATGAGTACAAAGGATCTTTTTTGGGATGATGGAAATGTTCAAAAATTGGAATGTGGCGATGGTTGCACACCTCTGTATATTTACTAAAGATCACTTCATTGTAAACTTGAAACAGATGAATTTTATGATATGTAAATAATACCCTAATTAAACTTTTTTTTTTTTTCTTAAAAAGGCAAGCAACAGACTGGGAGAAAATATTTGCAAAACATATATTCAACAAATAACTCATATCTAGAATATATAACGACCCTTTACAACTCAGTAGTAAGACAACTAAAATTTTTTTTAATGGGGAAAATATTTGAATAAACACTTCACCAAAAAAGATACGCAGGTGACAACTAAGCACATGAAAAAATGTTCACACCGTTAGTCATGAGGGAAATGCAAATTACAATCATTATGAGATACCACAATACACCCAGTAGAATGGCTGAAATTAAAGATGACCACATGAAGTGCTGGTGAAGACTGTGATGCAGCTGGAACTCTCGGGCTGCTGGTGGGAACGTCAAATGATATTTACACTGGAAGGCAGTTTGGCAGTTTCTTAAAATGTTAAAACAAAAAAACTTCTCACATACTTTGGACATATTATCAGGAGGGACCAGTCCCTGGAGAAGAACATCATGCTTGGTAAAGTGGAGGGTCAGGGAAAAAGAGGAAGACCCTCAACGAGATGGATTAACACAGTGGCTGCAACAATGGGCTCAAACATAGCAATGATTGTGAGGATTGCGCAGGACCATGCAGTGTTTTGTTCTGTTGTACATAGGGTCCCTATGAGTCAGAACTGACTCAAGGGCACCTAACAGCAACTATCCTGCCTCATTAACATAAGGGACAGAGGTTAGGATTTATAACACATCACAAAATGGAGGATAATCACACAATACTGGGAATCATGGTCTAGCCAAGTTGACACATTGTGGGAGGACGCAATTCAATCCATGACAGCATATGTACATGCAAAAACGTATACACAAATGTTCATTGCAGTTTTGTGACAGTCCAAACTGAACAACCCAAATGTCCATCAACATGCACATGGTTAAAGAAGTTGTGATATATTCATAGGGTAGAAAACTTCTCAACAATTTAAAAGAATCAAATTATTGATGTATGCAACATATGTATGCATCTCAAAATAATTATGCTGAGTGAAAGAAGACAAGTATAATTTCAATTATGTAAAATTCTAGGAAATAAAAACTAATTCTATAGGATAGAAAGCACAGTGTTTTCATAGGGTCGGAGGGGGAGACTGGAGAGGGGACTGAGGGAAGAATTAGAGGCAGAAGAAAAGTTTTGAGGGTAATGGCTATGTTCATTATCTTGACCGGGGTGATGGTTTGACAAGATATACATATGTATAGACTCATCAAATTGACCAACAAAACTGTACACTTTTAGTGAATACAGTTTATTGTTCATCAATTTTACTTCAACAAAGCTGTAAAACATTTGGGGGAAAAAGAGCCTTCTGAAACAATTATATATCAAAAATATATGGGTCAGTACCAGGAGTGGAGGGGGAGGGGGTAAGGAGGACTCAATGGTTAGGGGACACTGAGCTTCTGTTAAGGGTGATGGTAAAATTTGGGAATGGATAAGGGTGATGGTTGAATAACATGATGAACATAATCTCACTGAACATGTACATGTGAAGATGTTGCAATGTCAAATGTTTTGTTACATCTATGCTTACCACAATTTAAAGAAATTAAGAAAAAGGTCTACTAGTCAGATAATTTAGGAGGGAGGAGGGCCCAAGCCATTCTTGAATTAATAATCTCTTTGAATTTATTCTATGTACTAGCCTTTGTGACATCCGTTTCTACTTCTCTTGGGTGAAGACACAGCAGTGGAGTAGCTGGGTGAGGCAGTGTATGTTTAAATTTCTAAAACCCTGCCACATAATTCTACAAAATGGTTATACTATCTTGCATTCCCACCAGCAGTATTTTATTTCCAGTTCCCCACATCCTTGAAAAGTGACATTGCCAATGATACAAGAAAAAAGTCAGTGTCTGTAATACATTAGGCGAATTTTCTAGAAGCCATGGTGTGTTGAAGGTTTACACTGAGGTCAAAGAGTTATGGAAAAGGTGCATTGTAACCTGATTCCAGGTTCCTATTATGCAGAGCTACAGGATGGTTAGATTCCAAGTCTTCCCCGCAGTTATGTTGGATTTTCTCCTGGTGCACAATAGTCCTGTTTCCACTTGGTGTCAGGTGGTTGGGAAGGTGTAATCCCAATCACGTCAATCCTCAGAAAGAGCAACTGTGGGCGGGGAGTCCTTAGCAGTTCAGAAATCAAACTGTAGTGTTCCTAAGACTGGTGTGTGTCGGGGTGGGGCGGGGAGGGCAGTGGTTAGTATTTGGGAAGGAGAAGGTAAATGTTCGCCATTGAATCTCCTAAATAACCCAGATCTGTGAATTTTATAGTAACACTGTTTTTCTGTGTATTTAGACTTTAGAAGCAGTTATTCATCTAAGGGAGCTCCTAGATGGTGCAAACAGTTAACATGCTTGGCTGCTAACCAAAAAGCTGGCATTTCGAGTCAACCAGGGACACCCTGGAAGAAAGGCCTGGCAATGTACTTCCAAAAAATTAGTCATGGAAACATTATGGAGCAGTTCTACTCTGACACACACAAGGTTGCCATGAGTTGGAATATTTGACAGCAACTACTTTTGGTTTTATAGGCAGTCCTCGGATTATGAATGAGTTTCGTTCAAGTCTGTCTTTAAGTTGAATTTGTACCTAAGTCGGAATGGTTAGGTACTATTCATATCTAACATCAGTCAAATGTTTGTCTTAGTATATAGTACACAGTGTAACTTTCTATGCACAAAAACATTAAAGAAACACTTCCAGATACACTAAAATATCTTTAACATAACAATACCCAAACCTACGATCTCAGAGTCAATTCTGACTCATAGCGACGCCATAGGGCAGACTAGAACTGGCCCACTCATAGAGTTTCCAAGGCTGTAAATCTTTACAGAAGCAGACGGCCACATCTTTTTTCCATGGTGCAGCTGGTGGGTTCAAACTGCCAACCTTTCAGTTAGCAGCTGAGCACTTAAAACATAATAATACAGCAATAATAACGCTTTGATGCACGTCGCAAAGTAGCGCCTGTTTGTTATTACAAACCCTCCAATTTTTAATATAATAGGCTTTACGGGGGCTGGTTTGTAACTTCGGGTTGCACATAAGTCGGACGTTCATAACCTGGGGACTGCCTGTATTTATCTAAGGCAGAAATGAGGTACCTAATGTCAAATGTTCAGTTAATAAGGTCATTGTAGAGATGACTGAAGAGGAAAAAAAGCACAGTGGCCCTTGCTCAGAACAAGGACTGTCTTTATAACTGTCCTGTTCATACATGTGTTTTATTTAGAAGTTACATTAGAAATAAAGCTTAAAATCATGTTTAAAAATAGAGAAAAATAGCTAAAGTACATGATAGGAAAAAAATGGTAAGGCATAAAAGGATAGAAAGTTAAAGGTGTATAATACAAGCTAAAGGAATATGTTATAAGGGAAAGTTAAATAAAAATGAAAAGAAAGTAAAGTCAGATAAAAGGATGGAGGCACAGGCAGTATAAAGACCACAGGCCAAGGGCCATGACTCCCAGGCCAGGTACCAGCATCCTCTGAGCTAAACTAAGGCGCCTTTCAGTCTGGAGGCTCTGGATGAGGCTGCAGCCCTGGGCATACTCCTCACGTGGGCAAGCTCCGGAGCACATCCCTGCGGTCAGACCTGAGGGTCTGTCCTAGATTGGGCTGGCACACCCAGTGTCCAGCCAGGGGCCGTTCTCACCTGCTCAGACATCCTCCACTCACTGCTCCCTGAGCAAGGCCTTCTAGTGGACAATGTCGCTCCCAAGGAAGGGGGACCCCATCTATCTCCTTCATGCTCAGGGGCTACTTACGGCCCGGCAGTCTAAGGAAGTCTTTCTAGTTTTCCTTCCTAGAGTGTCTGCTTCTCAGCTCTTCACAGGTCAGGCAGGGTGAAGGGATACTGTATATACCTGAGCTGCCAACAGGAAGGGTGGGCTCTGCTGTTGAATACCCCTGAGGACTGACGGCAGGGGCGCTGGGTTTGAGTCTTGGCTCTGCCACTTACTGCCTGTGTGCCTGTGGGGAAATGACATCTCTACCGCTTCAGTTTCCACGTATAAGGCTTCATTAGCACATTATTACTATGGGCATGTGTGCACAGTCATTAGGCCAGTGAATGCATGTGGCACAGACCATGCAGTGCTTTTGTGTAAAAGTCAGGATAATCGGAGACTTGAGGGAGGCAGTTGGAGGGTTGTGTAGCTCCCTGAACTTCAGAACTTACCTTTCTGGATTGATCCATGAAGTAACTCCAAGGGGCATCTTGATGAAGCCACTCATCATCCAGGAAGGTGCCAAACTCTGCCTCAGAGGAAGGGCAGCTTATGTCCATTTTCCTCAAGGAAGGCTCACCTAAGCTTAGAGGCACTCATCTTCCTTCAGAAAGAAGTGGGGGGTACTGCAGAAGGCATTTACTTCAGAACCACCTGACCGGTGAGTTACACAGCGACAAAGCAATTATGGTATCTTCTTTCCCCGAGAGCTCTCGGCAGAAGAGGTCAGAGCTGTCTGCCTGGGTCAGAGCAGGCACATGCCCACCTGAGCGGAGACAAGGCTCGAGCAATCCAGAAGCTTCTCCATGGATCCCACCTTCCTCTAACTTCAGTCAGGGCAGAAGCTCAGCTGCTGCTCTCAGGGGAGAGTCTGTTTTATTTAGTGCAGCATCCCAAAACATACCCCATGTTAAGCAGAAACCAAGACATATTTGCTGGTGAAGGGGGACAGGAAAAAGATGGAGGTGAACTGGGGTGGGGGGGGGCGACTCTGGATGGGGGAAAGCACATCTCTATAAAAAGGAAAGGCACACTACCCAGGTTCTGATGCCCGACTTTAATGCCACCTATGGGTCCTGAGGCTCCATGTGCCAAAGGTACATGAACACACACAGGCTGTGTTATTCCACGTCCACAAGCCCCTCGTGTACAGAAGGAAGACACCGGGCCAGGAGGCCTCCCATACTTCAGAGCCACTGCCTGTCCTTCCCCGACCTTTGTTCCCACCTCCCCCGCCCCCACAGTCCCCCTCCCAGTGCACATATGTGTATATACACAAATTTTCTTCCAGAATTCCAAACACCTCTCCCACCCCAGTCCCAGCTTTAAAGCTTCTCTATTTCAGGACCACAAGGTGGTCACCACTTTCACCCAAGAGCCCCGCAACATGGTGCCCAGGAAAGCCTGGGAGTGCTCACACGAGGAGCAGACAAGGACAGAAGATACGCAGAAGGAAGGCGTCTGAAACTCTCACTGCGGTCAGAGCACTCCGTGTGAAGAGTTGTGTGTTGTCTAGCTGTTGTTTTTCTCAACCTCTTCAGCGCAGGCCGGAATCACACACTGACACTCACCGACTTAATGTCTCACAAATGTCTACTTCCCAGTCCTCCAGACAGTAGTCCAGAACAGGAGGATTAAACCTGCTCAGCCTCAGGTCCAACGGCTCCCAGATAGTCGTAACCCCAGGACAAGAGGGGAAGCTTTTGAGAGTATGTTGCTGCCTTCCGCACGGGAAGCACTGGGCAGCCTGGAGGACCATCCAGAGGGGGAGGAAGGTGGTGAAGAAGTCCATCCTTCTATTCAGAACATCACCAGAAGAATCCCTCCCCCTGGGACGGAGTGACGTGTTTCACTGTGGTCTTGTTTCTGTCTTTTTTGTTGCTATTGGTTTTTTAAAAATTTTTAAAAATTTTATTGTGTTTTAGGTGAAAGTTTACAGCGCAAATTAGTTTTTCATTCAAAAATTTACACACAAACTGTTTTGTGACTTTGGCTGCAATTCCCGCAATGAGTCAGCACTCTCCCCCTTTCTCTGCGACCATTCATCCACTTTTCCTATTCCTTCCTGCCCTCTCGTCTTTGCTTTGGGGCAGGTGTTGCCCATCTGTCTCCTATACTTGATTGAACTAAGAAGCACGTTCTTCACGTGTGTTACTGTTTGTTTTATAGGCCTGTCTAATCTTTGGCTGAAAAGGTGGCTTTGAGAGTGGCTTCAGCTCTAAGTTAGCAGGGTGCCCGGGGGCCATAGTCTTGGGGGTTTCTCCAGTCTATGTCAGACCAGTAAGTCTTTTTTTTGTGAATCTGAATTTTGTTCTACATTTTTCTCCTGCTCTGTCCAGGACCCTCTATTGTGATCCCTGTCAGAACTGCTGGTGGTGATAGCCAGGCACCATCTAGTTCTTCTGGGCTCAGGCTGGTGGAGGCTGTGGTTCATGTGGTTTAATCTGTATTTTTATTGAAATTTTTTATGGCTAGCATTGCAGCATGGGCCTAGCTCCTAAAGCGTCCACCTTCCCACCCAGTGAGCATGGCACCTGGGAGGACAACTGCCCAAAGCTGAACACAAGGGAAGCTCCAAGGCCAGCACTTCAAGGGTCTGACTCCCCAGTAACCACCGGCCTGTCTCAAGATAGACAGTCTTTTCCCTCATTGTGTTGAGGGGCATTTACTGACATTCTGCATGAGAATTCTATGAAAAATACTTCCTTTGCATCAGGGAGCTTTCATCCTTTGGGGCCCTGTTCCTGGCCCAACCCTTCTTATGTGCTGGGCCTGGCTATCTAGACTTGGAGAGGGATCTGACTGGGAGAAGACATTTCCTTAAAAATGACCCCTTTCTTTGGAGGCCACTACACAGTCCACAACATCCTAAACCACCTCCCAGCCTGGCCTTGGCCTCTCAAACCGGGCCACCGAATTCTTTTACTCCCATTAGAAAGAGCTCTAAGCTGGCCAGTCAGTGTCCCTTCTGCCTGCTCTGCTGGCCCAGAGTCCTGTCTCCCCACCTGGCCCAGAGCACACCACTGTGAGAACAGCTTAGGCGGCAGAGAGATGGAGGGAGGGGGTCCTTGCCCAGCACCCCTGAAACCCCAAGCAAGTTTCAGGGCCTGTTTATGAGCAAACCTGCATTTGAGCAAACAGTCGCTCCATGTCTTACGTGGATGGACTCTACCTGGCCCAGCACTGGGATGCTCTGTGGCAGGCTAGACCACTGAAAGCACTGGGCTGACTTATCTCTGCTCCACTCACCCTGACCTCCTCCTGAGTGGCTGGTCTCAGTGTCTGCTGAGAAGTGAACACACATTAGGCAGGAACACCACTCAGAGCCATGGAAAGGAAAGACTGTGCTGTCAGAACAAGGCAAGAGCCACGCTTCGGGGTTAAGCTCCAAGCGGATGTCAGCTCCAGAAAAGAGACTGTCCGAGAATGATAGGAAGAACGCACACCTGGAACCTGAAGGCCTGTCCTTTCCCCTCAGAGCTCGGTCTCCATCTCTGCTCCACGCACATAATAGTGAAATTTACAAGTTCCCACACAGGCACCAGGGGATCAGTGCCCCCCAGTCCCGTGAGGGAACTCAGCTTGCGTCTCGGGCCTGGCCCTCTCTTCCTCAGAGGGACACAGACATCCTCAGCCCCCCTTGCCTCACCTCACCAATCTACTCCTGTAAGACTGGGACCTGTGGGGCTGCCCTCACCAATCCTTTGCATATAAAAAAAATGTCCCTAAGGGGACAGCCCAGTGTATTCATGGTCCCAGTGTACAGAAATGTTGCTTTTGACTAGCGGTGCTGCATGGCTCTGCCTGGAGGAGATGCGTGCCCACATCCTGACCAGCTGCCTGGGCTGCAGACAGCAAGGAGGACGTGCACGGGGAGGAGACCCTTGGCGATCTTTCTTTCTCTCTAGTGCGGGAGTTAACACATAATCAAGGTCTGCTGCTGTCTTCCTACAGCTCTAAGGATGGCTGGGCCTCTCACCCAGCCCTTTCTTCACTGCCCCAGAACAGACACCCTCCCAGAGGAAGAACGTTAGCAGGATAATTCCATAGGGGCTAAAGGGCAGGTTCCCGTCCAAGGAGGTTCCCCCCAAGTCTGACCCTAACACCTGAACAAGCAGCCAAGGAGGTTTTCTGAGCCCCTATGGAGGATGCTACATCTCAAAGAACAGGAAATCTCAGCGCCCTGCTTGCTTTGACTTAGGGAATCTTCAGAAGGAGATTTTGACGTTTGCATTCCAGCCCTGTGAGAAGATAACCCCTGCAAGCAAGGAAGGTTGGTTGAAGGTAGGAGAAGCCAAGGCCCCAAGACAGGGCTGTAAACATGGTGGTTTTCTAAGGCCAGCCTGGTACACAGCTTTGGCAACTAGTTACATCTCCAAGAGGTGGTGAGGGCCATATGCTGGGAAGAAAGAAAGAGTCTGTCCACATCCTCAGATAGCGTGGGGGAGAGGGTGTGCCGGGAGAGACAGGTGCTCTTTCTCCTTCAGACAGGGGCTGCAGGGTGCTTGGGAAACCCCCTCCCGCATCATAGTCAGTGCTTACTTGTACATGCTGAGCACAGGAAGAGGCACGTGAACGGGCAGAGGAAGTGCTTACGCCTACATTAGTTTCCTAACGGGACTCTACAGAGGGCAGAAACTCTCCTGCCAGGCCAAGAAAGTGACAACACCTCTCTGGACTTCCTGGTCAAGCCCTAGCGAGACCCCATCAGCCACAGGCAAAGGCAGCCACACCTCGAAGCAGGGCTGGGAGAGTGCAGGCTCTGGGTCCCGCCGGCACGAACCCTGAGCCTGCCTCTGAGGCGCCATGGAGAGATAGGAGCTGCACTGTCATGCCCTGGGAGTTGTGCCACAGGCTTTGTACACACCTTGCACCTCAGCAGGTCCTGGGGCAGGCAGGAGGCAACCCTCACAGGGACCTTACTCCCAGAGCCATCAAGGGCCACGGCTCCTCCCTGACAGCCTCTGCTCCCCACCAGGCTACTCACCACCATGTGATCTTGAACTCATAGATGGGGCGCTTGCAGTAGTAGTGGTTGATGAGGTGCTTGTCACACACCCCGATGCACTGGTAGTCCACTGTGAGGCCCTGGGCCGAGAGGTCCGTCACCAGGCAATGCAGCAGGTCGTAGACGTCAGCCACGGCCTCCCAGGGCCCAAACGACACATCCACCTCGCAGTGGTGCTCAAAGAGCTGCCCGTCGCTCTCACTCCGCTCGAAGCGCAGGGAGCTGAGGAGCGGACACTCGTAGGGCGTAATGGGCATCTCCTCCTTGAAGACGCAGACCTTGAGCTTAGCGAAGCGGGCCTTCCGCTGCACCGCACGCAGCCGGGCGATCTCCACAATCCGTTCCAGATGGTCTGTGCGGGTGGACACAGTGTCCATCATGGGAGTGGGGAGGGGCAGGGCAGGGGAGCCCCAGTGATGGCAGGATGCAGGAGGAAGAGATTCCCGGGGAAGGGGCTCTGTGGGCCTGGGAAGGGCACAAACTTAACCAGGGCTCATGGTTCTCCATCCCAGCCCCAGCTGCCATTGACTCGACTCTGACTCATGGCTGCTCCATGTGTGTCAGAGTAGAACTGTGCTTCATAGGGTTTTCGATGGCTGACTTTTTGGAAGTAGACTGCCAGGCCTTTCTTCCAAGGCACTTCTGGATGAACTTGAACCTGCAGCTTTTGTTTAGTAGCTGAGTGTGTTAACTGTTTGCACCACCTAGGGCCTCCGTGGTTCTCCTCAGCAAAAAGAAAACCAACGGGATGAGGACTGTTCTCTTAAAAGGAAATGTGATGGCTGTCACAGGCAAGGTGGGCCCACTCCAACCCAAGTCTTTCTGGAGTGATGGGGAGGAGTGGGATTCTCTCCCATCCTGGTCATCGGATGAACCCTGGAGCCACTTGTGCTGGTAGAGACCAAGGCACCAACAGATCCCTGGGACCCTCCTCCCCACCCCCCCATCCTGGGCAGTCGACCCCTCACCTTTGTAATAGGGCATAAGTCCCAGAAACGCCTGGCGCACCTTCTCCCCCTTGAGTGGCTGCATGTTCTCCAGCTGCTCCAGGAGGGCTCCAATGGCATAGTACTGGGCCTCCTTGTACACGGCCCGCACACGCTCCCAGGGTGGCAGGTCCCCCGAGCGCAGGAAGTTCAGCACGTCTCTGAGAGGGAAGGAACGGGGGGCTGGTGAGGAGGAGCTAATGGACCTGGGTGGTGCCACACAGTCAGAGCATGGGCTCTAGCCCCAGACTGCCAGTGAGTGACTTAACCTCTCTGGGCCTGTTTCCTCATCTGTAAAATGGGAAGAAGTAACAAAACTACCTTATAACGTTATAAGGGCATTAAATAAATTAGTATATGAAAAAAAAAACAACCATTGCCATCGATCCTGATGCGTGGTGACCCTATGTGTGCAAAGCAGACATGTTACGTAGGGTTTTCAAGGCTGTGACCTTTTGGAAGCAGATTGCCAGGCCTTTCTCCTCAGGCGCCTCTGGGTGGGTTTGAACCACCAACCTTTTGTTTAGTAGTCAAGTGCTTATCATCTGTGCCACCCAGGGACTCCTGTTCTAGGGCTGAATAAAATCATGCGTTGCATTTTTTAAAAATAAAACCCAGTCCTTCTAATTCTCTTTCCCAATTCATTAGTGCTGAGAGTGATCAGATTCCTCACTGGTAGGTGTGGGAAGAGCTCTCCTGTAAGGACATGTGAGTAAACCACAAGGTGAAGCTGCCACCCCATCATCAGTCTATGACCATACACACCACCAGCAACACCCACTACTCATGTGTTCTCCCATCCAATCCTCCACTTTAGAATGAGGAATCAGGCTCTGAGAGGTCAAGAACCCCCTTATTCAAGGAGCTGCAGCTGCCAGAGACTCGGGTGCAGACAAGGTTGGCTCCAGGCCATACCCGCCAGGCTCCAGACTTCAGCACAAATGGTCCAGTTCAAACGGTCCTCCACAGGGGCACTGGGGCTGCATGAGCCGTGTCAGCAGAGAAATGTACCCCTAAATGCCCTGAGCCCACTCTCTTTTATCTGGGTCTTTGGAAAGCTTCGTCTGCTGATGATGACTCACAGGCTGCTGGAGTCGTGTGGTTCAAGCCGGAATGCCACAACATTCCGCTCTCCACTGTGCCTGTGCTTGGCTCCTCACTCTGCAGTGCCACATGGGCACGGGCACAGCGGCCTAGAGCCAAACCCTGACCCCCTCCTCACGCTCCCATCCAAAACTAGTCCTCTAGGACCTTCTGTGAGCCTTGGTGAGCTCTGGAGAACGTAACCCTGGAGCAAGCCCCAGCTCAGAGTGCTGTAGGAGCTGCCAGCTGGGGCCAGCACATTCTTCCCCCAAACAGCCTGCAAACAGAAATCTTTTTATAGTTCTGCAGAGTGAAGTGACACTTTGTTTTTTCAGCCTTGGAGGCAGCTGATAGCCCCCTGGGGAAACGCAGATGCTCCAAAGCAAATGATTTGGCCACAGGCTCCTTCCTGAGGATAAAAGTGACCTTTCCCAGCGTGGGTGTTCTTGTTTGGCGGCCGGCACAGAGGTGGTGGTTGGAGGGTTTCTGCCTCTCTGGTCATCTGGTTCAAGGTCAAGGACCACATCAGTTCTCTACTCATCTCCAAAGTTACACAGAGTTTCCGCCACATACCCTGACAGGGACCTGGCCAGGGATCACACCAACCAAAAGACACCAAACTCACTGCCGTTGAGTGGATTCCGACTCATGGCAGCCTCCTGTGTTACAAAGTAGAACTGTGCTCCAAAGGGTTTTCTTGGCTGTAATCTTTACAGGAACAGATGCCAAACTTTCTTCTGTGGTGCCGCTGGATGGGTTTGAACCGCTAACATTTAGGTTAGTAGTTTTATAGCTTTTTTTTTTTTTTTTTTTAGGTTAGCAGTCAAGTGCAAACCATTTGTGCCACCCAGGGACCAAAGGGTCACACCAACCAAAAAAATCAAACCCATTGCCATCAAGTCGATTCCCACTCAGTGACCCTATAGGACAGAGCAGAATGGCCCCATAGGGTTTCCAAGAAGAAGCTGGTGAATTCAAACTACGTACTTTTGGTTAGCAGCTGAGCTCTTAACCACTGCACCACCAGGGCTCCAAAGAGTCACACCAGGGCTCTTTATTTACTCCTTATATCTGACAGGCCTGCAGGGCAGCTATGTTGTTGTTGTGGTGTCGTTAGGTGCCATAGAGTCGGTTCCAACTCAGAGCAACCCTACGTACAACAGAATGAAACACTACCCGATCCTGCGCCATCCTCACAATTGTTATGCTTGAGCCCATTGTTGCAGCCACTGTGTCAATCCATCTCATTGAGGATGTTCCTCTTTTTCGCTGACTCTCTACTTTACTGAGCATGATGTCCTTCTCCAGGGACTGATCTCGCTTGATACAATATCCAAAGTTTGTGAGACGAAGTCTCACCATCCTTGCTTCTAAGGAGCATTCGGGCTGTACTTCTTCCAAGACAGATTTGTTCGTTCTTCTGGCAGTCCATGGTATACTCGATATTCTCTGCCAACACCATAATTCAAGGGCATCAATTATTCTTGGTCTTCCTTATTCACTGCTCAGTTTATGAGACGACTGAAAACACCATGGCTTGGGTCAGGTGCACCTTAGTCCTCAAAGTGACATATTTGCTTTTCAACACTTTAAATAGACCTTTTGTAGCAGATCTGCCCAACGTGATATGTTGTCTGATTTATTAACTGCTGCTTCCATGGGCATTGATTGTGGATCCAAGTAAAATGAAATACTTATCAACTTCAATCTTTTCTCCGTTTATCATGATGTTGCTTATTGGTCCAGTTGTGAGGATTTTTGTTGTCTTTATGTTGAGGTGTGATCCATACTGAAGGCTGTAGTCTTTGATCTTCATTAGTAAGGGCTTCAAGGCCTCTTCACTTTCAGCAAGCAAGACTGTCATCTCCATACTGCAGATTGTTAATGAGTCTTCCTCCAATCCTGATGCTGCATTCTTCTTCATACAGTCCAGCTTCTTGGATTATCTGTTCAGCACACAGGTTGAATAAGTATGGTGAAAGGATACGATCCTGACGCACACCTTTCCTGACTTTAAACCACACAGTATCTGCAAAGCAACTATAATTATTCCTTATTTCATAAACAAGGATACTGAGGCTTAAAGTCTTTAAGTTGTTTATGTGTAAGGGGGCCACGTGTCCTTTCGGAAAGGGTAATCTTTTTGAGAGTATGTTTTTCTTTATTGTTAAATGACATGAACGACAGAAGGTTTTTGTTTCTTACCTTGGCAAAATCAAAGCAGGGCAGCTTATGTCGGCCCTCCCCTCACCTTTTTTGGTCTGTGTCTTAGTTATCTAGTCTGAAGTATGCACTCCGCCCCCACCTCTTCTTGCTTGGTGGTATAAAGTCCCCCTCCTCTCTGCTCAATTCTCTCTTTTATATCTAAAAAGAGACTGTCTCAAGATACAAACTAATCCAGTAGATTGAGTCCTGCCTCATTAACATAACTGCCTCTAATCCTGCCTCATTAACATTGTTATGGATTGAATTGTGTCCCCCAAAGATGTGTATCAACTTGGCGAAGCCACGACTCCCCATATTGTGTGATTGTCTACCATTTTGTCACTTGATACGGTTTTCCTATGCGTTGTAAATTGTACCTCTATCATGTTAATGAGGCAGGATTAGAAGCAGTTATGTTAATGAGACAGGACTCAATCTACAAGATTAGGTTGTATTTTGAGTCACTTTCTTTTGAGATTAAAAAAGCAGAAAGATGGGGGACCTCATAACACCAAGAAAGCAGTGACAGGAGCAGAGTGCATCCTTTGGACCTGGGGTTCCTGTGCTGAAAAGCTCCTAGTCCAGGGGAAGATTGATGACAAGGACCTTCCTCCAGAGCCACTGAGACAGAAAGCCTTCTCCTGGAGCTGATGCACCAAATTTGGACTTCTAGCCTACTAGACTGTGAGAGAATAAACTTCTCTTTGTTGAAGCCATCAACTTGTGGTATTTCTGTTATAGCAGCACTATATAACCAAGACAAACATCATAAAAGCTAGGATTTACAATACATAGGATAATCGCATAAATATTCCAAGAAGCTGGACTACATGAAGAATGGAGAATTAGGATTAAAGGAAGACTCATTAACAACCTGCGATATGCAGATGACACAACCTTCCTTGCTGAAAGTGAAGAGGACTTGAAACACTTACTGATGAAGATCAAAGACTACAGCCTTCAGTCTGGATTGCACCTCAACATAAAGAAAACAAAAATCCTCACAACTGGACCAATAAGCAACATCATGATAAACAGAGAAAAGACTGAAGTTGTCAAGGATTTCACTTTACTTGGATCCACAATCAACACCCATGGAAGCAGCAGTCAAGAAATCAAATGATGCATTGCACTGGGCAAATCTGCTGCAAAAGACCTCTTTAAAGTGTTAAAAAAGCAAAGATGTCACTTTAAGGACTAAGGTGCACCTGATCCAAGCCATGGTATTTTCAATTGCCTCATATGCATGCAAAAGCTGGGCAATGAATAAGGAAGACAGAAGAGGAATTGACGCCTTTGAGTTACTGTGTTGGTGAAGAATGCTGAATATACATACCATGGACTGCCAAAAGAACAAACAAATCTGTCTTGGAAGAAGTACAGCCAGAATGCTCCTTAGAAGCAAGGATGGCGAGACTTCATCTCACATACTTTGGACATGTTATCAGGAGGGATCAGTCCCTGGAGAAAGACACCATGCTTGGTAAAGTAGAGAGTAAGTGAAAAAGAGGAAGACCCTCAATGAGATGGACTGACATAGTAACTGCAGCAATGGGCTCAAGCATAACAACAATCATGAGGATGGCACAAGACCGGGCAGTGTTTCATTCTGTTGTACATAGGGTTGCTATGAGTTAGAACCGACCCGATGGCACCTAACAACAAAGGGATAATCACATCAGATCACAAAATGGTGGACAACCATACAATACTGGGAATCGTGGTCTAGCCAAGTTGATACACACTTTGGGGGACACAATACAATCCATAACAGTTTGTTTTAAACTATAGTAAGATGTCTGGGAACCACTGCTGCACACCATGGCAACGCAGAACCCCAGAATTTGGAACTGACAGCGTTCTCCGAGAGGCTCTTTTATACTCTCCTCGCCTCTAGGTAGAGACGCACCTATTCCTTTCCACACAAATGACAACTTCTGGTCTTAAACGGCATAGAATAGAAGAAGTATCATCATTCCCGGCCAGTGTGTGTTCCCTGGGACTTCCCTATCATTGTCTTCTTTAGGAAAGAAACTAAGAATTTTGACCCAATGTAGTAAGCACATTTATTAAATGCCATCAACACATTATCTCCTTTTCTAGGTACTATGGTTAAGTGTTCTGCTGCTAACCAAAAGGTCAGCAGTTCGAATCCACCAGCTGCTCCTTGGAAACCCTATGGGGCAGTTTTACTCTGTCCTATAGGTTTGCTATGAGTCAGGATCAACTCAACGGCAATGGGTTTGGGATTTTTTGGTTTTTAGATAGTATGGAAGAAAAAAAAAATTAATGTCAAGCCAATTCTGACTCATGGTGAATCCCTGTGTTACAGAATAGAACTGCGCTCCACAGGGCTTTCTTGGCTGTTCAGTTTGTGCTCGACTGCTAACTTAAAGCCTAGTGATTCAAACTTACCCAACTGGTACCACAGAAGAAAAGTCCCAGTGATCTGCTTCCATTAAGATTATAGCCAAGAAAAAAAAAAATCATCTGTATGAGATCAAACAGTCAACAATTACTTTCAAACAAAGATGAGAATGTAAGGGGGCAGGGAAACTAGATTAATGGAAACAGAACAACAAGAGTGGAAATACTGAGAGTGTTCATGCATTGTGAAGAATGTAACCAATGTCACTGAACAATCTGTGTAGAAATTGTTGAATGTAAAGCAAAACTGCTTTGTAAACCTTCACCAAAAACACAATATTTTTTTATTGTGCTTTAAGTGAAAGTTAACAATTCAAGTTAGTCTCGCATACAAAAATTTATACACACATTGTTTTGTGACCCTAGTTGCTCTCCCTATACTGTGACAGCACATCCTCCTTTCCACCCCAGATTTCCCATGTCCATTCAACCAGCCCCTGTCCCTTTCTGCCTTCTCATCTTGCCTCTGGACAGGAGCTGCCCATTTAGTCTCATGTATCTACTTGAGCTAAGAAGCACTCTTCACGAGTATCATTTTATGTCCCATAGTCCAGTCTGATCTTTGTCTGAAGAGTTGGCCTCGGGAATGGTTTTAGTTTTGTGCTAACAGAGAGTCTCGGGGCCATGTCTTCCAGGTCCCTCCAGTCTCAGTCAAACCATCTGATCTGGTTTTTTTTTTACTAGAATTTGAGTTCTGCCTCCCACTTTTCTCTTGCTCCATCAGGGACTCTCTTTTGTGTTCCCTGTCATTGGTGGTAGCTGGGTACCATCTAGTTCTTATGGTCTCAGGCTGATGAAGTCTCTGGTTTATGTGGCCCTTCTTTCTCTCGGGCTAATATTTTCCTTGTGTCTTTGCTGTTCTTCATTCTCCTTTGTTCCAAGTGGTTTGGACCAATTGATGAATCTTAGATGGCCGCTCAATAGCTCTTAAGGCCCCAGACCCCACTCACCAAAGTAGGATGCAGAACATTTTCTTAATAAACTTTGTTATGCAATTGACCTGGATGTCCCCTGAAACCATGGTCCCCAGACCCCTGCCCCTGCTACTCTGTCCCTCAAAATGTTTGGTTGTATTCAGGAAACTTCTTAGCTTTTGGTTTAGTCCAATTGTGCTGAATTCCCCTGTAGTGTGTGTTGTCCTTCCCTTCACCTAAGATAATTCTTGTCTACTACTAGTTAGTGAATACCCCTCTCCCTCCCTCCCCACTCTCGTAACCATCAAAGAACATTTTCTTCTGTGTTTAAACCTTTTCTTGAGTTCTTATAATAGTAGTCTTATACAATATTTGTCCTTTTGCAACTGACTAATTTCACTCAGCATAATGCATTCCAAATTCTTCCATGTTATAAGATGTTTCATGGATTCATTGTTGTTCTTAATCATTGCATAGTATTCCATTGTGTGAATATACCAAAATTTGTTTATCCATTCGTCCGTTGATGGGCACCTAGGTTGTTTGCATCTTTTGCTACTGTGAACAGTGCTGCGATGAACATGAGTGTGCATATATCTATTCATGTGACGGTTCTTATTTCTCTAGGATATCTTCCAAGGAGTGGGACTGCTGGACCGTATGGCACTTCTATTTCTAGCTTTTTAAGGAAGCGCCAAAGGGATTTCCAATGTGGCTGTACCATTTTACATTCCCACCAACAGTGTATAATGTTCCAGTCTCTTCACAACCTTTCCAACATTTATTATTTTGTGTAAAAAACACAATAAAATATAAAAAAAAAAAAATGACAGCCAAGAAAACCCTATGGAGCAGTTCTACCCTAAAACACATGGGGTTGCCATGAGTTGGAACCAACAAGAACAACAACAATCTTTACAGAAGCAGTTTGCCCAGCCTTTCTCCTGTGGGCACTGGCTGGGTTTGAATCGCCAATCTTTAGGTTAGTAGTTGAGTACAAACTGTTTGTGCCACCCAGAGACCTTCTAGGTACTATTGAAGATGCCAAAGGCCCAAACCCAAGCCCACGCTACTCATTTGCATGGACTATAAAACTGACCGCGGAGGGGGAGACTTACCCAAAGTGCGCACCATCGCGGTCGATGAAGTACCGGCCCTCGGCATCAGTAGGGATGTAATGACGCCCACTGAACATGGCCGCCAGCATGGTGTCTTCATAGCGCCGCAGGGTGGACAGGCGTGTGGTGAAGTGGGCCCCTCCAATGTTGAGGGGGACAACCTCAGGAAACTGGAAAGGAACCACCAGGGGTCTCAGACAGGCAAGGGGAATGAGAGCCAGGCTGTCTGACGAGTGCCATACCATTCACTCTGTCACCCAAATCCACACCCAGGGGTCTGTATGAATGCTTTCTTGTCTCCCCTCTGTCTTCCCAATACCATCAATTGCCAAGTCCTGCGCATTCTACCCCTAAACTACTAAACCAGTTGCCATCGAGTCAATTCCAACTCATGGTGATTCCACATGTGTCAGAGTAAAACTGTTCCATTGGGTTTTCAGTAGCTGATTTTTCAGAAGCAGATTACTAGGCTTTTCTTCCAAGGTGCCTCTGGGTGGACTCAAACCTCCCACCTTTTATTTAGCAGCCAAGCACACTAACCATTTGTGGCACCCAGGGACGACTATACCTCTAAAACCAAAAACCAAACACACAGGGATTGCAAACATTGTCATGAAACAATTTGTGCATGAATTATTGAATGGGAAACTAATTTTTTTAAATGTACTTTAGACAAAGGTTTACAGAGCAAACTAGTTTCTCATTAAACAATTAATACACATATTATTTTGTGACATTGGATGCCAACCCCACAACATGTCAACACTCTCCCTTTCTCGAACTTGGGTTCCCCACTACCAGCTTTCCTGTCCCCTCTTGCTTTCTAGTCCTTGCCCCTGGACTGGTGTACACATTTAGTCTTGTTTTGTTTTATGGGCCTGTCTCATCTTTGGCTGAAGGGTGAACTTCAGGAGTAGCTTCATTACTGAGCTATAAGGGTGTCGGGATCATACTCTTGAGGTTTATCCAGTCTCTATCAGACCAGTAAGTCTGATCTTTTTTTTTCCTTTCTTTTGTGAGTTACAATTTTGTTCTATATTTTTCTCCAGCTCTGTCTGGGACCCTCTATTGTGATCCCTGTCAGAGCCATTGGTGGTGGTAGCCAGACACCATCCAGTTGTGCTGGACTCAGTCTGGTGGAGGCTGTGGTAGCTGTGGTCCATTAGTTCTTTGGACTAATCTTTCCCTTGTGTCTTTGGTTTTCTTCATTCTCACTTGCTCCAGATGAGGTGAAACCAGTGGAGTATCTTAGATGGCCACTCACAAGCTTTTAAGGCTGAAGGGGAAACTAATTTGCTGGGTAAACTTTCACTTAAAGCACAACCAAATGTTCAAAAAAAAACCAAACCCACTGCTGTCGAGTCGATTCCAACTCATGACGACCCCATGTGTTACAGAGAATTGCTCCGTAGGGTTTTCTTGGCTGTAATCTTTATGGAAGGAGATCACCAGGTCTTTCTCCTATGGTGCTGCTGGGTGGATTCAAACCGTCAACCTCTTGGTTAGTAAACAAGCACAAACCATTTGCACAATGCAGGGACATTATTCTACCTCTAAGAGCTCTCTTATCAGGTCTCTCACCCCAACCCCACTATCTCACTCTGCATGTCAAATTTTCATCGTCCTTTTTCCACTGCCTGAGCTTGCCACCTCTGTATCCTTGCCCAAGGTGTCTCCTCAGCCCAGAATGCTCTTACCACCCTTCCTCTCCCTCATACGCACCACCTAGCAAACAGAACTACACTCAACAGTGGTGTAGGTTTTCACTGAACAGGGGCGCCTGGATGAGAGGGACCTGCTAACTCAGCTGTGAGCCTTTTTCTAATCCACACCAAGGAACCATACAGGTTAACAGCATCCACTCACCCTAAAGATTCCCCTCCTCTGTGAGCACTTCTGCTCTCCTCTCCTACTACTAAGTGAAAGGTTGGTGGTTTGAACCCACCCAGCAGCACTGTGGAAGAAAGGCCTGGCAATCTGCTTCCATAAATATGACAAGAAAACCCTACAGAGTGCACTTCTACTAAGTAACACATGGAGCTGCCATGAGTCAGAATCGACTTGATGGCGATGGTTTGGTTTTTGTTTGGTCCCTTGCCTGCCCTCAAGATGTTGTTATTCGTTGCTATGGCCGTGTGTGTCAGAGTAGAACTGTGCTCCATAGGCTTGTCAGGGCTGTGACCTTTGTGAGACACCTCTGGGTGGGTTCGAACCACCACCGTTTCGGCCAATAGTTGAGCACTTAGCCATTTGCGCCACTGAGAGACTCCCCCAAGACAGTCAACAAAACACTCCCTCCATTGTGCCTTCACTCTGTTCCACACTCTATTATAGCACCTAGTACGATACACTGACAATTATTTTCTTCTGTCAACCGGCCCTACCAGACCTCAAGCTGCCCAAGAGCAGGGACAGCATCGTGTCCTTCAACCATGGGCCACTGACGGCAGGGCTCAGCAGATGTCTGTTGAATACCTCCAGGCATCCACTCCTCATTCTCTGTTCCTCACCATTCCCTCCTGCTGAATCTGCAGAGATTAGTCTCCAGCCTGACCAAGGTGCTAGAGGCAAGGGCTGGGTGAGGAGCAGGGAAATGAGGGGGTAGATTTGCCCCGGGAAGCTTGAGGTCCCCCTAAAACACACAGGCATTTTGTGTTTTTTGTTGAATGGCTTTCCCAGCCCCCAGTTTCTACCCACTGCATGTGAAAGAGATGAGGCCAGTTCTAATTTTCCCACAAACCTCTTGTAGATTAACAGAAATTTTATCCCAGCACATACTTTTCAGTATTATGACATCTCTCTGGCTCCAGTGAAAGTCTGCATATTTATCGAGACAGTCCCTTTTCCCACCTTTCAAACTGTTTGTGAAATAAAGTAGGATAAAATACATTAACTACAACTTACCCAGGGCCTTGTACAGTAAAGACCGAAATATTCATTGAATATATGGATGAATGCATGAATGAATGAATGAGCCTGACAGGCGTTTACAGTTCTGTGGATGTGTGTATTATTACTCTTCTGCTCCCAGAGGAGGTAGAAATGCCTTCTGCTTATTCTATGTTGTTGTTGTCAGCTGCCATCAAGCTGGCCCCTAATTCATGGCGACCCCATGCACAATGGAACAAAATGCTGCCCAGTTCTACACCATCCCAATGATGGGTTATGAATCAGACCGTTGTGATCCATAGGGTTTTCACTGGCTGCTTTTTGGAAGTAGATCACCAGTTCTTTCTTACTAGCCATCTTAGTCTGGAAGCTCTACTGCAACCTGTTCAGTATCATAGCAACTCACAAGCCACCACTAACAGACAGGCAGTGGCTGCACATGAGGTGCATTGGCCAGGAACCTGGGCCTCCCACATGGAAGGGGAGAATTCTACCACTGAACCACCACTTCCCCAGCTTATTCTATACCTCCTATAAAACCATTCTCTGTGCATACCAAGGATCAAATATCATTTTGGAATAATACATTCCAAAATGTATTACAAGTGTAATACATTTTGTATCACAAATTTGTAATACAACTTCTTTATATTTGTGGAGATCTTTAAATCTTTTCCAAGAATATCTCCTAACAATCCAAGTGTTTGTCACATATTAGAGATGAGAAGACCGAGGCAGGAAGGAAAAAAGCAATTGAAAATAGAGTTTAGAGCAGTGCAATCGGCAGGGAGCTGGCACAAGAGCCCTGGCCTACCAGCTCCATGTCCTTTGCTCTTTCCCTCAAGCCAAATAGTTCTTCCAATGACAATGCACAAAAGGATCCTTAACACTCCCCTCTGCACTTGTTAAAAACGGCACCACTGTGCCTCCAGTGGCCCTTTTCTTCCAATTGCTAGAAGTACTTCTAACTGAAAGGTTGGCAGTTCAAATCCACCCACAGGTGCCTTGAAAGAAAGGCATTGGGATCTGCTTCTGAAACATCAGCCATTAAAACCCTATGAATTGCAGTCCTACTCTGACACACATGGGGGCACTATGAGTCGGAGTCACCTCGATGGGAACTAGCTTAAAAGTACTGCTAGAGTTTTGCTCATTTTCACAAGCTCTCCATGATGGAGAAGCTTGTTAAGAGAAGCTCACAGGCCGGGCGGTGGGAGGGCGGTGGAGGGGGAGGCAGAATCCAGCCTGGCTCAGCATGTCTCCAGCAGCCCTAGGCACTGAGTCCACTGGAGAGGAGAGAAGCTGTCTGTCTGGGATTGGGACAGCTCGGGGACTCTTTTGAGATTAATTTACCAAGGTTTTTAGCTCTTTCAAACCACTTCACACCCAGTTCCTCACCTGATCCTCACACTGTGGTGACAGAAGAGCAAACTGAGGCCTAGAGGACCAGACAGCTTCAGTGAGGTCAGCAAGGAGCTAGTGGGACTTCCTCTGTGGGACCCATCCCACTCCCAGCTGTAGGAACAGGGCTTCCAGCTCCAAGCGACACTATCTACTTCCTAGAGCCTCGCCCAGCCTAGCCCAGTGTCTCTGGGGCTCTGTCTCCCCTGTCACATGCTCCCACACCTAGCACTACCTTAGCCTCCACCTCCTGGTTTCCACCCTCAGTGCCCCGCAGCATTCCTCCCTCCTGTACTCCCTTGTCTTGAGGGTCATCGCAGGCGTTAGTAGGATGGAATTTCACAAGGCAGTGAGACGGGGGCGGGGGTGGGTGGGCACCGTGCATCAGGGCACAGCAGCTAATGTGCTAGAGTGATGGAGAAGAAGGGGCTGTGTGGACACCCCTACTCATCGGCCTGCTGCTTCTCTGCTGCTGGCTCCTTGCGCGTCTCTGGGCAGCTGGAGGCTGGCTTTCGGCCGCTGCCCCAGCCTCCTCTTGGCCTCTCTGGAAGACAGCAGCATCTCCGGGCTTCTGGTCCAGTTAGCGGCCTGGCCTCCCGCCTCAGGTTGGTGGGGACGGGGCAGAGAGGTGGGGTCAGTCATCCTCTCAGGCCGGACGCACTACAGGGGCTGCGGACCCGGTACCCCTGAGGCAGGGGACACACCCGGGCCATCACTGGTGGGGGAGCCCGACTCCTGGACATCGCGGCGCTCCCACCCCAAGGGCAGCTGCCCGGCCCTGCTGCCCCTCCTGGCCCCGGCCCCGGTACCTCCTGGGGCAGCAGCGGCAGCGCATGCCCCGCCTGCGTGGCCGTCGGGGTGGCCGGCTCCAGAGAGTCGTCCTCGGCGTCGGAGCTGGACATGGCACCGGCCGGGCGACGGCTGTCTGGCTCCCGCCCTGTGACTACCACCATCCCTCTGGCTCTGGACAGGGGGCGCGGCTCAAGCGCTAGCGCTGAGCAGCGCTCGGCATGATGCGGCTGACAAGCGGCGGCAGAGCGCGGCGGCAGAGCGCGGCGGCGGGGCCGGAGACCGGCCGCTCGCTCGGCTGACCCGAACCGAACCACCGCCGCCCGTAGCCGCTGGCCTCACGGAGCTGCCGCCCCCATTGGCTAAGCCCCGCGCACTCCGCTCCTGATAGAAAGCAGGCTTGCCCAATCACCGAGCAGGAGCGCGTTCAGTCTGCGTCTGAGTGGCTTGCTTGCCTGCCCGGTTCTGATTGGCCCTCTCCGCCCTCTAACGCTGGTCCCCTTTATAGAGGGAGGTGGTGCTCTGGGTGCGCGCGGCGGGTGCCTGGGGCGGGGTGCGCAGTGTTGTCGCCCCCTAAGTGGGGCCTCTTCGTTGTCTCTGAGAGTGGCTCCCGCAATGGGTAACGACTCACTCACCCTTGTCTCCAGTGGAGGCCTGGCAGCCGTTCCTGGAGGATGTGGTGGGAGGATGTGGAAGAGGAAGAGCGACACAGCTAGAGCGGCCGCCCCTCCTCAGGCCCTAAGGGCAAAAGCTAGGTCTCCAGACCTCCCCCATTGCCAGGCTTGAAGGAATCAGAAAGCAAACTCCAAGTAGGAGCAGTTGAGTTGAGTTCATCATGACAGTGACTCTGCACCCTCTCCGTGGCAGATCCTCCTCTGGGCGCCTGGCCACACGGATGGAGACAGGCCTGTGGAGGAGGAGTCCAGCCTGGCCCGGCCCCAGGCACTGAGTCCCCTGGAGGGGAGAGAAGGTGTCTGTATGGGCCTGGGGCATCTCTGGGCCTCTTTTGGGATTAACTCACCAAGGTGTTTAGCTCTTTCAAACGACTTCACACCCAGTTCCTCACCTGACCCTAACATTGTGGTGACAGAAGAGTAAACAGGCCTAGAGGACCAGACAGCTTCAGGGAGGTCAGCAAGGAGTTAGTGGGACTTCCTCTGTGGGGCCCATCCCACTCCCAGCTGTAGGAGTCTTCTGGGCCAGTGCTTTCTCCAACTTTAGTGTGCAGCCAACGAGGGAGGGCTTGTCCAGAGACACATTCCCAGTTCCACCCCTAGGGATCTGATTCAGGAGGTCTGCGGTGTTGCCCTTGAATTTGTGTTCCTAACAAACTCCCAGATGATTCAGATGCTGCAAATCCCTGAACCAGACTTTCTGACTCATGGTGACTCCATGTGTGTCAGAGGAGAACTGCTCCACGGGCTTCTCAATGGCTGATTTTTCAGAAGTAGATTGCCAGGCCTTTCTTTCAAGGCACCTCTGGATAGATTTGAACCTCCAACTTTCTGGTTAGCAGCCGAGCTCATTACCTGTTTGCACTACCCAGGGACTCGACACTTTGAGTAGCACTGCCCTAAAGGAGGCCCCCTGAGGCCTTCTCTTATCTACAACTACATGCTCCAGCCTTTTTCAAAAATGCCTATAACAAAATTTCTTCTTTCCTTCCTTATGCAAATTAGGATGTTTCACCTGTAACAGAAATAGCAATGAAAAGTGGTTTAAGTTATAAGGGAATATTATTATCCTATAGAAGAAGAAGGAGCCCTGGTGGCACAGTGGTTAGGTGCTTGGCTGCTAACCAGAAGGTCAGCAGTTTGAACCCACAGCCGCTCAGAGGGAGAAAGATGTGGCAGTCTGCTTCCATAAAGATTACAGCCTTGGAAACCATGGGGCTATTCTGTCCAAACACAGATTCCCAGTCTGTATAGGGTTGCTATGCATCAGAATCGACTCCACGGCAATAAGTATTTAAGAAGAAGAACAGGGAAACCAGCAAACTGGAAGCAAAACATCCACAAGGGAATTAACGAGAATGTTAACACATTGTGAAAAACGTAAGCAATGTTTCTGAACAATTTGTGTAGTGATTGTTAAATGGGAGCCTAATTTGCTGTGTCAGCTTTCACTGAAAACACAAATATTATTTAAAAAAAGAAGAGGAGCCCTGGTGGCACAGTGGTTAAGCGCTCGGCTGCTAACCGAAAGGCTGGTGGAAACCTATGGGGCAGTTCTTCTCTGTCATACAGGGTTGCTATGGGTCAGAATCAAAAGGACGGCAACAGGTTTATGTAAGAAGTCTGAGCAGATTCAAAGGTGGTTCGTTACATAACTCACCAAAGTCCTCATGGACCAGCTTCCTTCCTTCCATTTACCCACTCTACCAGATGGCCTCTCCTCCCCTAGGAATTCATATGAGAAAACCACAGAACTAAAGGGCTACCAGGGACACAGTTATCCCTCCACTCCAAAGCAAGGCTATCTAAAGAAAATGGGAAAGCTGCCCAGAGGCTCAGGAAGGGGAGAACCAGGTGCAATCAGTTGTAGACTGTGGAATGTGCTGGAGTTTCTGGCTTCCATTTCTGCTGAGGATTTCCTTTAGGAATGCAGTTTCCCAGTTGGTTCTGTTTACGCACTGGGGGAAATGCAACGTCACTGCACTGGAACGAGCCTTGCTGAGCGAGTAGGAAGGGCTTGCAGCAGGCTTTTTGGGAGAGCAGGACAGTTTGTTGGCAGCAGCTGACCCCATCCTGCAGGGGAATGACTTCCAGGCCAGCTCACGGGAGGGCTGCAGCAAAGGGGCATGAGTCTTTAAGGGAGGGGTCTGTGGGACATGCCCACTCAGAGGGGGCAGTGAGGGCTTCTTTGAGAACACAGGCCGGTAGGGCATTGGGATATCCTTCTCCAACAGTCAACCAAACAAATAGTCCTATAGGCATCAGGCCCTGAGATCAGTGAACTGGATTATAGCCTGTTTTTCTCCTTTGCCTACCCAAACGAGAACTTCTGAATGCTGACACATTTCCAAAATGCTGATTCAGCTCCTGAACTTTCTCTCCCAATTTTAGTTTAATAACAATTTTAACAATAATAAAGGAAGTAAAAACAGGAATAAAAGTATCCAACTTCATTTCCACATTACTTTCTTTTGGTCTTAATTTTGACTTAAAATATTCTAGACATATAAACAATTATACAAAAAAAGTTACTGTTGAGTTGATGTCAACTCATAGCAACCCCATGTGTGTCAGAATAGAACTATGCTCCATAGGGTCTTCAAGGGATGATTTTTCAGAAGTAGATCACCTTTCTTCCGAGGTACCTCTGGGTGGACTTGAACCTCCAACTTTTCAGTTAGTAGCCCAGCGCACGTTAACCCAGAGATTGGTCCTTCCTGTCTTAATACATAGAGGTGGGAATTCCAGGACACCATTATCCTGGGCCGGCATGAAGAGGCTCCCCCAAGTGGTCAGAGGCTCTGGGGGTCTTATCCAGAGCAAACTATCAAGAGAGGGCTCTCTGCAACTGGACTAAACCAAAGCTAAGAAGTTTCCTGAATACAACACTTCGAGGGACACAGGAGCAGGGGTGCGGTCTGGGGACCATGCTTTCAGGGGACATCTAGGTCAACTGGCATAACAAAGTTTATTAAGAAAATGTTCTGCATCCTACTTTGGTAAGCGGCATCTGGGGTTTTAAAAGCTAGTGAGCAGCCATCTAAGATGCATCAGTTGGTCCCAACCACCTGGAATAAAGGAGAATGAAGAACACCAAAGACACAAGGAAAATATTAGCCCAAGAGACAGAAAGGGCCACGTAAACCAGAGACTGCATCATCCTGAGACCAGAAGAACTAGATGGTGCCTGGCTACCACCAATGACCACCCTGACAGGGAACACAACAGAGAGTACCTGATGGAGCAGGAGAAAAGTGGGGCGCAGAACTCAAATTCCAGTAAAAAGACCAGACTTAATGGTCTGACTGAGACTGGAGGAACCCCAGAAAGCATGGCCCCCAGACTCTCTGTCAACCCAGAACTAAAACCATTCCCGAGGCCAACTCTTTAGACAAAGATTGGACTGGACTATGGGACATAAAATGATACTTATGAAGAGTGTGCTTCTTAGCTCAAGTAGATACATGAGACTAAATGGGTAGCTTCTGTCCGGAGGTGAGATGAGAACGCAGAGAGGGTCAGGAGCTGGTTGCATGGACACGGGAAATCAGCAGTGGAAAGGAGGAGTGTGCTGTCACAGTATAGGGAGAGCAATTAGGGTCACATAACAATGTATGTATAAAAACTTTTGTATGACAGACTAACTTGAATTCTAAACTTTCACTTAAAGTACAACAATAAAATTTAACAAAAAAAGAGAGGGCTCTTTGGTTTGGGGTGCACACTGGTCACCATGGATATCTTCACAAGATGATGCAGGTCCCGAAGTTCTCTCATCCCAGGCTTGGACCCACTTTACATGTAGCCTTTGGATGAATGTTGTTTTATATTTTCATTTATTATTTAATTACAATAAAACAAAAAGAACATAAATACATAGATGCCAAAATAACTCACATCTAGGCTTCCATGAAAATAGTGTTTTATGAATTTGGTTTGAGGGTCCGTAGCCATCCCACCTAAGATTGCACTTTACTTTCTCATCGGCTATGTCCCTTGGTGAGCTCCTGTTCCAGTCACCTGTGGAAGCATGATAGGTAAGTCCCACCAGTGGGTGGGCTAGTTAATGGTGCCACTTCCCCAGCTCCACCCCTCTCCCCAGTGCCTGGTTTGTATGGCATTTTCACTGGTCTGTCAGTTCAGGCTCAAGCACTTTACAGCTTCGGTATTTATTGCAGTATGATTTCACCAAGTGGAAAAAGAATTTAGCTGGAAATATCATCCCTTACGCCCTGATAAAACACACCCATCTCCTGATATTTGGGGCCTCCCTGCTATTCCACAACCTTCTCTCCCAAGCATCCCCACCCACTCAGAAGCCACACTGGCTTTGAATTGGAGGACCTTGCCTCTCTCAGAGGCAGTAAAAGGGTATTTGGGAAAAACAACTTTTCCTTTAGGGGCTTCCTAGCTCTGGAGTTTGCACATTTGTTTGGAACTGCCAGCGGAGAGTCCCTGTGGTTGGTTAGAAGCACTAAGGAGAAGTGAAACCTTAAAACACCCTGAGGCAACACAGGATTAAAATAACCTGTTAGAGGTCTGCACAGTTTTTCTATAAAGGGACAGATCATAAATATTTGCAGCTTTGCAGGCCATGTGGTTTCTGTCACACTACTCTGCCCTGCCACTGTTGTGGG